AATATTCTAAAGAATATTATGTTCTTTTTCATTTGTTATGCTGTTACAGTAGATATGATTTTCAAATTAAAAATGGCTAATAATAAAACATTTCATTTCACATATTCCTAGGATATCAGTCTTCAAATGTTTCATTTTATATTTGACAATCTCCAATTTTTAAAATTTTTACTTTACCTATTCTACATTATGATTATTGACAGATGTGAAACAGTTTATTTTTGAGTCAGGAAACATCAGTAAATGAAGATCTTGAAACTTTTACTTCATTTATATCAATAAGGTTGTATTCCACTTTGAGGAGGTAGCTTTTATTCAGCTGTAGTTGAGTGTCTTCTCATGTGAGGGATTCGTCTTCATACCAGATAATGCTTGAGTCATTCATAATGTTTTCACTGCCCAGAATTTTATTTTTAAGTAAACGAGGTCTTTGTTCTTAAAATTTATTAATCTGAAAAGTTTGCTAGAACTTGTCTACCATGAGTAACCTGCTACTATTTGCAATTAAGATGGTATACCCTCAAGAATCCACCACTTGTTTGTTAGTTTGTCGTACTATGATGGATTGTGTTTCTATGATGTTGCCAGCTATTTCACTGGTATTTAAAAGACCAGCAGGGTGACCCAAGTGCATAGATTTCAGCATAGCTTCTAGAGTAAGAATAGACAATGCAGAAGGACTCAGCTCCCCATGTCAAAGGAAAAAGCTTCTGAAAACCTGATGCAGAGCCGCACAGCATTGTCAGATGCTGAAGGCCTAAAGAATGGACGCAGCACATTGTCAGAGAGAGTGTCGGAGGATGGGCCGCTCAAGTCTGAGGGCACTTGAAATGTGATTGCAGAAGACCTGTTTTCTCAGAGTCGAGTTGACCATGATGATATCCACTAGAAAAGCGTGTGGGGAAAGGAGCCTTCGGGATCTTCATTTACTGAAGGGGCACAACTCAAGAGAAGGAGAAATAGCTGAAAAATCTGCGAATGACCATAGCTTAGAATACATAAAGTATGAATCTAGAAAAATTGGAAGTTGTGAAAATTCAAGTGGAACACATATACATCAACATTCTAGGCATTAGTGAGCTGAAATGAACTAGTATTGACCATTTTGAATCAGAAAATCATAAGATTTCTTATGCTGGGAATAATACAATCAAGAGAAAAGGATTGGCATTCACTGTAAAAAGGGACATTGCAAAATCCATCATGAAGTGTAATGTAGGATAGATAGGATTATATCTGTCTGCTTTCAAGGAAATCCAATCAATGCAGGCATTATTCAACTTTATGCACCAACCACAAAAGCTAATGATGAAGAAATTAAAGAATTCTACCAACTACTTCAATCTGAATTTGATCAATCCTGTGATCAAGATGCATTGATTAATTATTGCCAATTGGAGCACGAAATTCAGAAACAAAGAGCAAGGAATAGTTGTTGGAAAATAAGGACTTGGTGATAGAAATGAAGCTATAGATAGTATGATAGAATTTTTCAACAAACAATGACTTTTTAATAACAAATCATCTTTTCAGCAACACGAACGATGACTATACACATGGATGTCCCCAGATGGACATACAGTAATGAAATTGACTACATCTGTGGGAAAACACAGTGGAGAAATTCAATAGCAGTAGCTAAAACGAGACTAATGCCTGACTGTGGAATTGTTTATATATACATTAAGGATAAAGCTGAAGGAAATTAAAACAAGCCTTCAAGAGTCAAAATTCCACCTTGAGCCTATCCCACCTGAATGTCGAGAACATATCTAGAACAGATGTGATGCATTGAACCCTAAAGACAGAAGACCTGATGAAGTGTGAGAGGACACTAAGAGCATCATTCATGAAGAAAGCGAACGATCATTAAAAAGACAGGACCAAAGTAGAAGTCAGAAAAGACTCTGAAACTTGTTTTTCATTCTAGGGTGGCTGGAGTTCATCTCGGAAAGATTGAAGTAAAAAAGCTGAACAGAGAATTTCAAAGGGTAGCTTGAGATGACAAAACCAAATGCTATCATGAAATATGTAAAAAGTTAGAATTAGAGAACCCAAAGGAAGAACATGCTTAGCATATCTTAAACAGAAAGAACAGAGAAAAAAATTAAGCCGATAATTGTAATATTGAAAAACTTTATGGACAAAATATTAAATGATGCAGGAAGAATCAAGGTAGCTAGAGAGAATATAGTTTTGTACCAAAAAGAAATAGTTGACATTCTACCATTTTAGGAGATAGCTGAGGTAGTTAATTGTGCCAACCTGGCCAATAAACACATGTGGTATTAATTGAAGGGCGGAGGGATAAATGGCTCGGTGAGCCTCACTTTTCTAGTTCTCTGGTCTCTTGCTTTATGATGGTTGGACCAGGGTGCAGCTGTATTAGTCAGGTCCCTGCTTCAGCTGGAAAGGCTCACTTCCTGCAAGATATCCCTGAGGAGAAGCCGCATGGACCTACCCTGATGCAGCCCTGGGTGCTGGAGCAGCCGTGTGGAGACCCCTGCCAGCGCTGAGATGCTTACACATTCACTGGCACGGCTTTCCTCCTGCAGTCGGTGTCATTGTGTCTGTTTTGTTAGATGGAGGAGGACTTTGTGGATGGGTGTCGAACATATGGATTACTTTTGGACTTGTGGGCTTGGGCAGCACTGGGTTGGGATGTTTTCTTAATGGGCACTTACCCTTTATATAAAACCCTCTCTTATACATGAGTTTCTGTGGATTTGTTTCTGTAAAGTACCCAGACTAATACAATAGCCTATGTGCTGAAGGAAGAAGTTCAAACTGCACTGAATGCATTGTCCAAGAACCAGGCTCCAAGAGTTGATGAAATATCAACTGAAATGCATCAGCAAGCTGATGAAACACTAGAGGCACTCACTGACTGGTCGATGCAAGGAAATATGGAAGACAGCTACTTGGCCGACTGCCTGGAAGTGATCGATATTTGTGTCCATTCCAAAGAAAGGTGATCCATGAGAATGCTCAAAATATACAACAACATCACTGATATAGCACACAAATAAAATTTTGCTGAGGATTATCCAACAACGTTTGTAGCAGTGCATGGACAGGGAACTGCCAGAAACACAGGTCAGTTTCATAAGTGGACATGCAACCACAGATATAATTGCTAATTTCAGATGGATCTTGACTCAAAGCAGCAAGTACCAGAAAGATGTTTACTTATGGTTTATTGACTATGCAAAGGCATTGTACTGTGTGAAGCATAATAAACTATGAAAAACCTTAAGAAAAATGGGAATTGCAGAACTTGTATATGTATATGTGTATATATCAAGAGGCATTTGTACAAACAGAATGAGGGGATATTGCATGTTTTAAAATCAGGAAAGGTATACATCTGGGTTTTATCCTCTCACAATACTTATTCAAACTGTATGCTCAGCAAATCTTCAGAAAAGCTGGCTTCTATGAAGAAGAATATGGCATCAGAACTGGAGAGAAACATTAAAAACCTGTGCTAGTCAGAAAACACAGCCTTGTTTGATGAAAATGAGGAGGACTTGAAGCACTTAATGATGAAGATCAGGGATTGCAGCTTTCAGTGTGGGTTATAAATCAACACAAAGAAGACAAAAATAATCACAACTAGACTAATAGTTTGCATCATAATGAATGGAGAAAAGGTTGAAGTTGTCAAGCAAGACGGAAGAAGAAACTATGCATTTGAATTATGGTACTGGAGAACATTGAAAGTACCTCACACTGCTTAAAGGACAAACTCATCTCTCTTGGAAGAAGTCGAACCAGAGAACAAGATGAAAAAATTGGGAAAACATAGATTGTGTGCGCCTCGCTATTTAGTGTATGAAATAAATCTATAGTGCATGGCATTTATTAAGTATACATGTAAAATAGTTGTGACACATAGCAGAATGTATATATAGGTAAGTTGGATAACTGTGGACCATATTGATGTTAGACAAGGAGAAATATGAGAAGCTAAATTACCATTTGTCCATAAAAAGAACTGAAAAAAAAAGAAACAAGTCCTGAGGTTTGATCATGACATATCTGTGAGCACAGCTTTGGTATGCATAAATCAGCCGCTCATTTGTGATGTTCATAAGATTGCATTTGCCCCCAAATGTTCTCAGCATAAAAACAAAAAAACCCAGAGAAATATCATAGATATCCAGTAGTCTTACTGTTGAGTTTGAGCTTTGACCTGCATGTATACTTGTGTGGATAAGATATTAGTCCCAGTTGCTTTCAATATTTTAAACCACCTTAATAGAATCTCAACTTTGATCTTTCTAATCACACATCAACAGAGAAAATATGAATAATGTGTAACTGAGAGGTCAGATACCATGAATCTTCTATCTGATTTTACTACTGTCCTAAATCTGTTAACCTATCTTCCTCCTGTCACTAGTTCTCAACAGATGTTATAAATTGCCTAAATTAACCATGAGAGTAATACATTTTAATTGGTTCTATGAGTCTTTCTGCTCAATATACTTTGGCATAGATTGTCAGGTAGTGTATTTGAAAGCTACTCTTTCAGTAGTGTGTCTATTAAATGTTGTTGCATTTGGGTGCCTTTGAGTTTGTTCCTGTTGATAGGCATCCCATGAACAACAGAAGAAATGCTACCTAGTCGTGTACCATCCTCAACATTGTTGGCATGCTTAAGCCCTTTGTTAAAGTCACTATGTCACTTAACACTGTTTAGGGTCTTTCTTTTTTCTCTAACTCTCTACTTTTTGTAGCATGATGCACCTCTCTAGGAAATGTTCCCTTTTGGTAATGGGTCCAAAGTATTTTAAATGCAGTCGTGTTATCCTTGCTTCTAAGAAGCATTCTGGCTTGCTGCTTCTACTAACAGATCAATAGTACTCAATTTATTCTCTATGTTTATACTTAGTCTGCCTCTGGTTTTAGACTGTTTATTTAACCACTGAATAAATTTGGATGAACTTTATTATTTGATTCTCTTGTACGTGTTCTATTTTTTAGGTTTGACCATTATGTCCATGTTCAATGGCAGCCGCTACCAGCCACAATTCTTCCTTCTCTCAGGCATCCCAGGGATGGAAGATGCTCATATATGGATCTCCATCCCACTGAGCATCATGTATATAACTGCCATTCTTGGAAACAGTATCATCATTCACATAATACGGAAAAACTCCAGCCTTCATGAGCCCCAATATATATTTCTATCTATGTTGGCAGCTACAGATACAGGCATGTCAGCCTCCACATTGCCGACTGTTCTTAATGTCTTCCTTTTTAATCATCGAAAGATTGAATTCCATGGCTGTCTGGCCCAAATGTTCTTCATTCATACTTTCTCTTCCATGGAGTCAGCTATCCTGCTGGCCATGGCATTTGACCGGTTTGTAGCCATACGCAACCCGTTGCGCTATACTGTGGTCCTGACCCATTCTCGAATTACTCAGCTGGGGTTGGTAGCTGTGACACGGGGAGTGGCATTGATGGCTCCATTGCCTATTCTGCTCAAACGGCTTCCCTTCTGTAAGAGCATTATCCTATCACATTCTTTCTGTTTCCACCCTGATGTGATGAAGTTGGCTTGTGGATCTATTCGTGTCAACGTCATCTACGGACTGGCCTTGGTTCTTTGCTCATTTGGCGTTGACTCTGTCTTTATTGTCCTATCTTACGCTCTAATCCTGACGACAGTTATAGGTATTGCATCCAGGGAGGGAAGACTGAAAGCACTCAACACTTGTGTTTCCCATATTCTCACTGTCCTTATTTTCTATGTTCCACTTATTGCTCTAGCCTTAATCCACAGGATAGGCAAGTACCACTCCCCCCTCCCCCATGTAACCATGTCTAACATTTTTCTTTTTCTCACACCTGTCCTCAACCCATTGGTGTACAGTGTGAAAACAAAACAGATTAGGAATGTGCTGTGTAGACGATTTGCACTTAAGGTGGGATGAAAAGCAGAGTGAGTCTCCTTAAGAAATTGATTTTAAGGTACCAAGTATATTGACAACAGAAAGAGAAGCATACATTTTTTCCATATATCTGAAGTACTTTCTTTGGTATATTTCTGCACAGTTCTGCTATAAACTGGAAATGTGAACTCTCCTTCTAATTTTAAATCTTGCATGATGAAACATTTTTGTGCATTCACGCTATACGTAACATCCAAAGGGTTTGTACCATTTACCATGGGGTAGAGTCTTTGAATCTAAATAGTGCTTCAAGTGTTTTCAATATTAGGGTCTCCCATATATGCATATAGTTATGGCTTAAATCTGTTTAAAACCAAATATTTATATTGTTATCCAGATATTTACGATTGAAGTGAAGTTTAAAATACTATAAAGATAAATGTTTCAATTGACAAAACAAGATTTAATTTTTATTTATTCAAACAAATTATTTTAAATTATTTGTTTTAAAGTATTTGTTCTGTGATTATCAAAATATAAGTGTGTTGTAACACAAAATATAGAATATAAGAGAAACAAAAAAGTGATAAACTAAAGGAAAACTATAATAAAGCTGAGTCTCTAAAATTTGTCCTTTTGTGCAATGTATATTTCAGTTCTTCATATAATAGTCAATTGAACTTCACAGTTTGGTGAAAATAATCATGTAATTAGTAAACTAAAGGCAATACTCTGTACTTAAATACTATACCATGTAAGGAATAATCATGATACAGACTCACTTAGGCAAATCAAAAATAGATAGGCTTCTGCCTAGAAATGTCTATAAAGAAAATCAAATTGTGTCTTAAAATCAGTGAAGCATCTTATGAGTCAGAATATTTTTGAAGGTATCCATTACAGTTACAAAATGAGTTCCCATTGAAGACAAAATCTACACTTTTAAGTAATCAGCTTTTCCGTTCTGTTAATGTGTTGCAGATTACTGCTGAATGAATGTTTTTGGAACTTTGATAAATTTCAAGGATCCATGGTAATTATCTTTATGGTTCATCTCACACTTCCAAGAAGCATATCCTAATAAATCCAGACTTCACTGAGTTACTTTTTCTGAGTTCATATGAAAAGTCTAACCGTGTCGCATAATCTCATCACACACACACACACACACACACACACACACACACACACACGGGAGTTCCCCCCAAATAACAGAATTTTTTCAAAGCTATGTATTTATTTATTTAACAAAATAACCTTATCACCTTCAAAGTAATCTTCCTTACACTTAATACATTTGTCAAATCTTCTATTTTATTCTTGGAAACATTTTTCAAGCTGATCTGTTTGGAAGGCTGACAGCACCTCCATTGTTTTGTTCTTCACCTCTTCTAAGTTGTCAAATGTCTGTCCTTTCAAGTCCCACTGCATTCACAGAAGCAAAAAGAAATCGCACAGAGTGAGGTCAGGTGAGTAAGGTGTATGGGACCAGAGAGGCATGCTGTTTTTTATGGCAAAAACTGATGTGTGGAGATGCCTGTGTGAGCAGGTGCATTGTCTTGGTGGCAAATCCAGTCTCCCTTCTGCCACAGATCAGGAGTTTTGGTCACACACTTTTATACCATTTTTTTCAGAATCTCTAAATAGAAAGCTTGGTTAGCAGGCTGACCTGGTGGAATGAGCTCCAAATACACTATGAATCAACATTTTTCATCCTTTCAGAAAGTTGACAGATGTACAGAATGAGGTTTGTTATCAGTCAACATTTCACCTTTTTTGAAATGAGAAAACCACTCATTTTTCAACCACTTGAATTTTCCCCATAGCACTGTCCTTGTAATCTGTGTTTAAAATCACAACAGTTTCTGAAGCATTTTTCCCAAGCAGGAAACAAAATTTCACAGCTGCATGTTGTTCTCTTAAATTGGCCATCATCAAAAACAAGGTTTGAGTGAACTACTTCTACCAAAAAATTCACTGCGACCAGACAGAACCTTCCCAAGGAACCCCCTGTGTGCACAAGCTCAAAGTGAGTGCTGGATGCTCATCTAGTGGAAAAAAAAAATTTGTACCATGAAAGATCCACCCAGTGAAGCGTTTTTCCTTTTTTTTTGGAGGGGGGGGGCAGTATCCCTTTGCATATATATTTGCATTTATACAGGTGCACACACGTGCATATATGTATATTTTCCATACCAAATTATATAAATGGCCCAACTCAGCTCCTATGAATTGGCTATGTGAATTAGCTACGTGAATATCATTTAATGTTTTCTGTATAAATTTGATGCCTATATGTCAGAGGACATTTCATATATTTTGATTATTTGAACTATTGTTTAAGAATGAATCTAAAACTTTGAGAAAGTACCTTCAAATTCTTTCTTATGGCTTCACATGTTTACCTTTACCTTTGTACCTTTAACCTTGCAGCCCTGGTGGTGTCATGGTAAGTATTGGGCTGTGATCTGCATGGTCGGCAGGTCAAAACCACCAACAGCTTCAAGGGAGAAAGACTGGGCTTTCTGCTCCTGCATACAGTCTTGGAAACCCACAGGGGGTCAGGATGAGTCAGCATTAACTCAATGGCAGCACATTTTGTTGTTTTTTTTAAAATTTAGCCTCTTTCATTTACTTGTTACCTTGATCTCAGAGAGTCAATAGTTCATTTTTTTATGACTCCGAGTTGGCTTCAGAAGAAAATGGGTCACTTTGATGTTTGTCTTTTTAAGTTGTTGCAGGGGTTTCAAGAAATAGGAATGAAGCATTTTTCCATATCAAAGTATTGGCGTTAGACTGTTAACCAAAGAACTAGCAGTTCAAACCCACTGGTAACTCCTTGGGAGAAAGATGAGGATGTCTTCTCCTATAAAGGTTTAAAGTCTAAAAATCCCTACATAGAGCCACTGTAAATCTGAATTAAATTGATGGTAGTGGTTTCCTTCTTTATTTTCATTTTTTAAAACATTAATATGGAATAGGAAACAAAATTTTCATACAGTATTTCATCCTGGATAAAGAAGTCATATGTCTTAGAATAACCATTTCTCAGACCACAATAAATTACTTCTTTTCAGACTTCTTTATCTTTTGTCTATAACTAGAATATTCAGAACCCTGACCAAAATCCATCTACAAGAAATAATAAAAATATCAAATATGTCATCCATAATGGGTGCCTAAAAACAAGCATCAGGGACAACCAAGAATCAAGTAACGTCTTGGATTCTCTATAAAATGAGTCTTTTATTGATTTTTTATAATCTAGAGACAATGCCCTCCCCTTTGCAGCTAAGAGTTATTTTCATTTGGCTCACTTTAAAAAAACACACAGAACTTGGATTCCTAATGCATTTTGCCTTACACTACCCGGCAAAGAGCAGCTATCTTTCATTAAACCAATGCTGATTATTCATTTAAGTACCCCAACTCCCTTCCACATCTTTGGTTATGTTATGTGCTAACTGAGGGGAAGAGTTGCACATTTTCCATTTTTAATTTATTGTTTTCAGTAATCTACTTGAATACACAATCAATGCTCACAGAAACAACAGTCAAGAAATTAATGGAAGCATTGCATTAGGTAAATGTGATGCACAAGATCTCATTAAAGTGTTGAACAGCAAAGTTATACTTGCCCCAAGCCATGTTGTTTTCAATCACCTATTTTGCATGTTAAAGTAGCACATTGAATAAAAAAAAGACTGAAGAAGAATCCATACATTTGAGTTATGGTAATGGAGAACAATATTGAAAGTACCATGGGCTTCCAAAGAATGAACAATTATGCCTTGGAAGAAGACAGCTAAAGGATGATGGGATCTGTCTCACATACTTTGGGCATGTTATCACAAAAGATCTGTTCCTGGTAAGGGGCATCATGTTTGGTAAAATAAAGGAGCAGCAAAAAAGAGGAAGTCTCTTACTAAATGGATTGACACAACGGCTGTCATCAGAGACTCAAACAATAAGACCAAGTGTGATGATGATGCAAGACTCGACTGTGTTTAGTTTGGTTGTACATAGGGTCCCTATGAGTCAGAACTGACTCAATGGTCCCTAACAACAATTCCATACTACTTGGCACGTATCAAATTCTGAATAGCATTTTAAACTCTTTGTTCTCCCGCTGCAGAGAAAATCTCATTCTCCGGCAATGACTCTTTGTGCCCAAAATTGCTTACGTAGGGCAGCCTGGATCTGTCGAGATTTAAGACTATAAACCAGAGGGTTCAGCACAGGTGTCATGAGGAGGTAGGTGTTGCTCATAGTGGTATATAGAATCGGTGAAGTGTCCTGAGCAAAGCGATGCAGTACTGCCAGACTGATGAGTGGCAGGTAAAACACAAACACTGTGCACAGATGACAGGCACAGGTCTGCAGTGATTTCCAGTTTCTCTCCTGGGTCCCCAGCTTCATGATAGTGCCCAATATCTTCATGTAGGACACCAGGATGAAGACAGCATCCACTGCAAATGTGCAGAGCACAAAAACCAATCCGTAGACACTGCTGAATGTGACGTCCCCACAGGCCAAGTTCAACATATCTGGATAGTAGCAATAAGAGTGTGAAAGGATGTTGGCTCCACAAAAAGGGAAATTCTTGAGAAAAAGAGGCAAAGGGATCAGCAGAGAAACACCTCGGATGAGAGCAGCCACACTAAGGCAGGCAACAGAAGAGCGTGTCAGGATCCGAGTGTAGTTTAGCGGAGCACAGATGGCCACCAAACGGTCAAATGCCATGGCCACCAGGATACCTGATTCTACCGACGACAGGGTATGGATGAAGAACATTTGAGTCAGACAAGCATCCAGACCAATGAGGCGCACATCAAACCAGAAGATAGCCACGACACTAGGCATTGTAGTCAAGGAAAGACCCAGGTCAGTGAGAGCAAGCATGGCCAAGAAATAAAACTGAGGTTCATGAAGATTGTGATCTGATCTAACTAGGATGAGGAGAAGAGAATTGCCTACAATGGCCATCAGGTAGAGAAGGCAGATGGGAATTGAGATCCATATATACGCAGCCTCCAATCCTGGGATTCTAATGAAGGAGAAGGTGGGGCAGTCAGAGGCAGTGTGATTTAAAGCTGGCATGGTGGACTGCAAGGGGAACTGTCCATGCAGACACTTACAGGCCTGTAAGAGAAAAAATGTGTGTTGTGAAAGTTGAATACATACATTAGAATTAGAATTTAAAACATTGTTTACATGTGGAATTGAACAATTTCAATAGGCGAGGTAAACTTTTAACTCATACTTTTGAATAATTTTTCTCTTTAAAAATAGTTTTATTGGACTATACCTCGCATATCCTACAATATAATTGCTCAGTTATATTAAGATGAACTGTGCAATCATCATTACAATCATTTTCATAACATTTTCTTATAGTCCTTGTTAGCTCCCCCTTTCCCCGCAATCTCCTCTGGATGTACTCCTAGGTAATTATTAATCTAGTTACTGTCTCTGTCTGTTTACCTATCGTTGCTTTCATATACAAATAAATCACATAAAACAAAAATAGGATTCAAACAAACCAAAAACCAAAAATAAATGACTAGACAAAACAGAGAAATACCTCAATAAAAAAGGCAGAAAATATTAAAAGAACGTACAACTTCATAATGGATTAAAAGGAGATTAAAAGATAAAGTAGCTTTCATCCTAACTCTATCTGCCATTAAAAACTCTAGAACACTCTCTGTCTGATATCCAACTATTCTCATCCCTAGACTAATAAAGTCAGAAGAGGTTTTATGTATGTCTGGACCCAACAAATGGGACTTTGGACTGTATCATTCACAGCCTCGCTCAAACCATATATTCATAGTTTAAACTCTGATACAATTCCCTCCTTTGGATTGTATTATTTATAATTCTTGGATCACACAGGCTGTTGTGCTTCTTTTGCGTAGGCTTAGCTGATGCTTCACGTAAATGCCGCTTGTTTTCAGACAAGCATGAGAACCCTAGACCAGGGGGGGCATTTGGACAGATCACACTGGTTAAGCATTAGCATACCTAATTTTTCATTGAGTTTGGTGAACTGGTTGTTAAAATGGTCCTTGTAGACAGGGTTCCTTTAGGTGAACTGCTGATGTGGAAATCACAAATGTGCATTCTTGACTCTTTTCTAACATTCATATGCACAACAGCATATTGTATGCACCCATAGTAATTTTCATTCCATCCATAGGCTATTTGGCAATAATGATTGATATTTTAAATGAAATTTATCTTCTTTCAAATGCACTGATGTGGGAAACAGATGTAAGACTGAAAAATCTGTGAGAAGATCGATAAAAGCATCAAATGCTTGGAAAGAAAAGAGTCCATACCAAAACCCAAGTTGATAAATTAATTACTTCAGGACACTTGAAAAACCTACATTTGTAGAAAGACATCAATTTGTCAGGATTTCTTGGGAAAAATTTTAGAAAACATCATAACAAGTTTTAAAAAAGACTGTGAACTTATAAAAGGAAGGCGTAACCAATTTCAAGATAGGAATCCATTACAATTTTTCAATGTTTTAGTGATTAATAGAATTTTGAAGAAATATTAGTTCCATGAAAAGCAGCTGAAGAACATTTCCTTAGATTAAAGACATTTGTAATCATCAGATTAATATTAATTTTTATGGAGATTTCCTGAATAACATTCTGAAAAATTCCCAGAATTGTGCTATTCCTGACAGTGTCCAAAGAGCTGTAAATATTGTCAGAATAATTTCTGTAAGGTCAGCAGAAGCAGAAAGGGGGTTTTCAAAGATGACCCTAGTATGTTCAGAGAAAATAAGCCACCTGTTTCTGATACATCACACACATGACTATTGTCTAAATGGCCTACCTTTGATTGATGTCGTCACTTGCAATATTCTTCTCTTTTATCCCGGCAGCAGCAGCATCAGCTGTGTGATTTATCCTTAACCATCTCTTTATTTTAGGAGTGAGGATATAATTCAAGAAGCATTATAGAAACACCTTAAATAACAGTTTTATTGTGGGTCAGATATTTTTTCATTAGTATTTTAAAACTCTTAGAGCAGTCCAGTTTTGTGTACCTATTTTATTGGTCTTATTTAAGTATTAACTGTATGAAATCGTAAACTATATTTTGGTTTATCTTTGTTATACTTACAATGGTCATTAGGGAAGCAAGGGCAGTTAAATTATTTGTATCTAACTACTGCCCCAGACACTAGTCTTGTGATAGCCAGGTACCATCTGGTTTCTTCACCACGCTTTTTGATAACACCCATCTCTTCAAATAGGACCATGCGAGAATGATTTCTCTTGACATAAGGATGGCAAATTAAGGTCAAGGAAATATATGCAACGGCATTACGCACTGGCCCACTAAACGCAGAGCCATCAAATTGTTAACAATTACTTTATACCATTAGAATAAAAGCCAAACCTACTTCCCTCCAGTCAATTTTTACTCAGCAATCCTATCTAGGGGTTCCAAGAATACCAACCTGTATAGAAGCACACAGCCTCCTCTTTCTCCCATGGAGTGGCTAGAAATTTTAATGAAGTTAGCAGCCCAATGCCACCCTGACCCCTTTTGGAGCAAATGGACAGCAATACCAAATGTTGCTGAGGAGGCAAGACAACTAGAACCGGCATGCATTGCTGATGTGTTGCAAAATGGTACAAACTTTTTGGAAAATTATGATTTTATAAAGTTAACCATGCATTTATCATAGAGTAATTATATTACCCAAGAAGCCAAGAAATCCACTCCTAAGAACTTGTCCAAGAGACATGAAAGAATATACATATACATATATATATATAAAACTTGTACAAATTATTCATAGTGATTTTATTTGTAATAGCTCAAAATAAGAAAACAAATTTCGTGTCTACCTTTAGGAACATATCAGATATATGCAGCAGCATTACTGGGCCACATATGTTAAATGAAAGAAGACAAATACTACAGATCAAATGCTATATGATCCCATTCATAAGCATTTACAGATAAGTAAAAACTTATAGTGACAGAAAACAGGTCCGAGGTCTCTTGAAAGGATAGCGGGAGTGATGTGGGGTTGTGACGACATTGCAAGAGATACAGTTTTAAACGGTTGAAGATGAATACGTTCTAAATTGTTGCTTGTGTAGTTATTACATGATTTCATACATTTAAAATTTTATTAGATTGTATATTTATTACTGGTGAATAATATTGTATATGCATTTTTTCACTTTAAAGCTGACGAAATATTTCTTTGTGTACAAAGTACTTCTTAATATACTAAATCTATAATTAATTGATATTACTATCTTTTGGGATATCTTCTGTAATAATTTCCTTTCAAGTCATTCATAAAGAAAATATCCCTGTAGCTTGTTAATCAGTTTAAACCAAATGAACAGAAATGCATTCCATCTGTAATGACTTCTATTGCATTTTACTTCGTCTTATGCCCTATCACTCTATGAGTATATCTCTTTGCTCATGTCAACTTTTCTGCAGGAATCCCTTGATATTCTCTTATATATTGAGTGAGTTTCTATTCATTATTCAAATTTGATTACCTTCTAAACGTATTACCTGATTCTGTAAAATAGAATTCCTCACATGTTCTCCTGTTTATTCTGTGATGTTTTTCAAGTCTTCTCTCTGCACCACCATAAAGGACAATTATATTTCTGCTCTCTTGGCTACTCTGAAAATACCTGAAATCATAAGTCTCTTTATTTTCCTGAATAATAATTAGTATTTCTTTAAAAAATTATTTAGATGGTATAGTTCATGATGTAGAGAGAAGGGGCTAAAGAAGAAAGAAGGAGGGAGAGAGGGTAAAAGAAAGAGATGGGGGAAGGAATGATAATTGGAGGAAAAATTCATACAAGTACTATGGGAAGCTATTTCTTCCATCCTAATGTTTGATGTTCTATAACAAATAAGCAAACTAATCAATATAAATATTATATATTAAAACATATTCTTCTCAATAATACATATTATCTAAGCACTGAACACATTATATACACATATGCATTATTTTTCTCAAGTCAAAACAGAAATTATAGTTTGAACAACATTTTTAAATAATGCTGCTTTGCTTTAATAATGACTTCACCATCACAACAACAAGCACACAGACTCACTGCCATCGAGTCGATGCCTATAGAGACCTGTGGGGACAAAGTAGAATTGTCCTTGTAGGTTTCTGAGGTTGTAGATATTTCCACGAGCAGAAAGCCTCATCTTTCTCCCTCGGAGCAGCTGGTGGGTTCAAACTGCTCACCAAGCTGTTCTTAGTCCAACACATACAGCACCAGCGTTCCTTTTGGCTTCACTACATATTATTTTAAGTAAGAAGTGTCCCTTGTCAAGTTAAGTAAAAATCATGGCACGCACCACATCTTGTTATAAACATCCTGCATTTACGCTGAAGCACACACATGAAAGCACTCATTTCCACACATACATTTGCTATGTGTGCAACTTCACTGTCAACATAAAAGCTGCTTTTTTTACTCCAAATTCAGTTTCAGATTTCAAATTAAATGTAACCTCTTAATTCTAGATAGTTTTCTTCCTGCTCATCCATTCTTCTCAATAGTAACTGGCTGGAACAAAAGTTCTATTTCCTTGCCTCTTTCAGATTATATTATTCTGCTATACATTATCACACAGAGTTTCCTGAGAAATTCATGAGTACATAACATCATTCTAAGTATTGAAAATTCAAATATGAGTGAGAAATAAGAGAGTATATGCAAGAAAACAGTGTTAAGTTTAAATATTGGTTCTACCATGTTATCTTTATATGGTTCAGAAAATCACCTAACTTTTCTGAGAATTAGCATTCTTTTCAAAATGTGACTATTATATCTATTTTAATAAGCATTTATAAAGATTTAATTTAAATGAGAAAATAACTTATTATAACATTGATAAAATTTAAAAACACAATGTCCAAAATTCATTATAAACTAATATTTTGAAGTCAGATTAAGAAATATACACCAAATGTAGGGAGAGAAAAAGTAGAACAAAGTTTTACTGATAAATTGGCATGGACAGAGAATCCTAAAGAAAACAATTTAGGTGAATAATCTACTTTCAAAGTA